TACTCCTCTACATTACCCCCCCCCCCCCCCCGTGAAAAAAAAATCAGCCGACTCGGCTGTAAAGAATATAAAAGTAGAGGAGTGCCGGAACCCAAACAACCACATTTACAACAACTGACAACACCATGGAAGTGGCTACGAAGACGGACCGCCCCCAGAACCAAACACAACACCAGGGCAGCCCGACAACAATAAAGTCAAATTTACGAAGCCCACATCACTCGGTAACGACAATTTGTCAGCCCAAACGTAACACAACAACCGACACTTGGGCAGCCCCGACAACACATAAACCGACAATTTGGCGATGAGGGCTGTAGGCCGACGGCAGCGGTCCATCTGGTCTTCACAGAGCGCCTGCCCCAGCGCACACGCGCTGCAGGCCTGCCTCCCCATGCGGCATCAACCGCCAGGCCAGGCACCGCGCCAGCTAGTGACAGGCCCCAGGAGAGCTGCAGCAGCCCAGCACTCCCCCCTCCAGACCGGGGTAGGCCACTCGTGGCAGCACCAGGAGTGAGCTGCGGAGGGCGAGTGGAGGCTCCCTCCCCTCCCGCCTCCGCACCCAAAACCCCAGGTGCGCGCTGGCCCGAGCGGCGGCTCCTGCTGCCCACCCCACGGCGAGATGCGCAGCCGCGGCGTCGGCACGGCAATGCGCAGCACTGCGAGGTGCAGAGCTGCGGCAGCGTCGGCGGCCCACCCCCCAGTCGTGGCGAGAAGAGGGGCCGCGGCGTAGCCGGCGGCCCACCCCACGACCGCGGCGACATGTGGAGCTGCGGCGGCGGGCGCGGCCAAACCCGCCGGCACAGCGAGGTGCGGAGCCGCGGCTTGACCCTCGGCCCACTCCGGAGCCGCGGTGACGCCGACAGCAGACCCCGCGTGCGCGGCGGCACCCACGGTGGAGAGCGGCGTCGCGGCGCCCATGGCGCCGACATGCGGCGTCGCATCAACAATGGCGGCCGCTTGTGGCGTCGCAGCCAAAATGGCGGTCGCCTCCCGCGGCGCCCCCGTCGGGAACATGGCGCCAATCTTGAAATTAGCGAGAAGCGGGTTGGCGGGAATCCGCCGCTCCCATCCAAAATGCGTGCCGAGTGCGCGCACCTTTACCTCCACCTCCTCGATCTGGGCGCAGAGCTGCTCCATCGCCCGTGTGAGCGGCTCCAGCAGCTCCGCGAATGCGCTCCCCGCCCCCGGCGGCGGAGCGTTGGCACCCCCGGACGCCTTCTCCTCGCGCTCCGTCCCTTTCCTCTTCTCAGGGGCCGTCACCGGGGCCCCGGACTCCGGGGTCACTGCCGAAGCCTCCTCCATGCCGTCTTCATCCTCCGATCATCCTGTCGGTGGGTTCTTGCGCGCCGCTCCCGATGTTGACATAGTGGCGGCAGCGCAGACACTCTGACACCAGTTGTTGAGGAGTTCCTGACGACGACTCTGAGACGGCTTGAAGGTAAGGGCTTTCGCCAAAGGTTTATTATAGTATATTACAATTACACAAATGGTGTGACAACTTCCCAGGGGATAGGGGTCCTACACTAAGTCCTGGTCTAGCCCGGCTAGCTCCGGTCTCTCTCCCTCGAGTCGGATGGGGGAACTTGCCAACCCCACCGACCGGGAAGAGCAGCACCTCCTACGGCTACCACCGGCTTCACTCCTGACTCTTCGTCGATCCCTCTCTACCCCTGGTTCCCTCTCCACCCTTCTCACTCTACCCGTTCCCACAGTGACCCCGCTTCCATCACGGGGTCCCCCTTAAATACTAGAGGAGACATGACGTCATCGAGCCGCCCAGCATGCATGACGCCACGTTCCATGACGTCATCGCACTGGACGGCACACATGACGTCACGTCCCCATTTCACTCCTCTACATAAGTAAAGGCCCAATGGCAGCCGCCAACATTTATTATGGAAGGCTTCAGAAATTCAGTATCAACTGTGGAGTGAGGATAAAGTACAGCTCCTCAAGTCATCGATTACGGTGCGACTGCACAGCCAGATACGCGAACACATTTGCATTGGGCTGTGGTCCACTGTTGGCCATTACTGTGCCAATATAGAAAATGCAGCGAGTCAACGGAGTAGTTCACATTCGTTCTGATATTTACGTGTTTTTTCTTTTGGGACAGCAGTGGCAACACGAGTTTGATTCCCAGCCACAGCTAACATCAGTGGTGACATCTCAAGCAGTACTGGAACTCCGCCTCCCACTTCACTAAACTGCACCGACCAATGTGGTGAAGTATGGTAAAACAACCCCCATCACCGGCATGACATGGGGAGATCTTCATCCTGCAGCGGATTGGCAAAAAGCTGTAAATTATTGCTCAATCATCAGCCTTTATCAATCCACTTCTAACGGAAGGTCTGACCAGAACGTCGCTATCTATCAAGGTCCTGCAATGTAAAAATCCGCCTAGAATCTGCACACGGGCTGAATTCATCACTCTATCTCCTCGCTGGGTGCCCTCTCAGATGCCGTTGATCCACTCCTTGAGGATGCTTTTCATATTCTCTGCAATCAGTGCAAAGTCACATATCATTTAATTGTTTGTCACTGCTGGTACAGCCGGAATAATTTGAAAAACCACACCCAAGATTGTGTTTAGTGTGTCGAGTCATTTGTGACGAGGCCGACACCATCAACTTGCTACACTTGAAATCCCAGTTTCATCAGGGCTCGCTGAAACCCACATTCCAACCCATGGTCTCAGCGGTGTTGGCTAAGTGGTCTGACACAGCATTCGCTTTTTGAGCTACTGAAATTACTTTTCCATGGGGGCACACACTTGTGGTTTCAAACCAAAAAAAGTGTTAGGTGTGGCTGCAAACACATGTTAACAAGCGTTTAGGCGCCACAGCAGAGCTGACATTTCCAGGCTTAGGTATCAGCTGTATCAGGCCGACATGTCTCATCAGGAGGGTTGCCAGCTCTAAAATACAAAAAAAAAACCCAGGCCATGTCATGGAAAGAAGATCTCACAATACTGGAAGAGAGAACCACGTGTAAATGCGTCGTCTTGAGTGGTGTTTTATTACACAAGTCACACAAAGACCGGGATTTGTTTTTAGTATTTCCTGGGAAGACTTATAGATTTCCGAGGACAGCGACCTCAACCTGCGCTTAGCTGCAGCTGCTCAACACAGGAGCAATGCAGCCATGATCAGCGATGATTTCTTAGTCTCTTATATTGTACAGGGTGGTCCAGATGTTTTCTGACCCTCAATTAATTTACCCCTAAAGATTGTTTTCCTTTGCATAGTCATTCCTGTTTTATATAAACCTTACTTTAAAAAAATAAGTTTTAGAAAATTAAATCGGGGTCACAAGACATCTGGACCACCCTGTACAGTATACAGTACAGAAAACCTACAAGACATAAATAGCCAATAAAATTTATCTTAAATAAATGACTCTGCTCCGACATCAATTTCACACGGTGAGAGTAATCCCAATGGAAAAGAAAAAGCTAGAACTTCTGTGTAACAATCCAAGGATCATTCCCTGATGACCAGCAGCCACCATCCATTGTTTGCAACGTCTCCTAACCAAGCACTCGAATTGCAATTCCTAACAGCACTGAAACAGGCTACACAATTAAGTCGCTCTGTGAAACTAGCATGGTATAGTTACTGTACTGTGTACGTATGTATCTACTGCACCTTCACTTGCCATTGATTCACGTAGCCATACAGATTTCGCATTGACAATACCCCTGCTGCGTACTCGATCGCGAACTGTCTGTCACCCACCTGCCAACTCTTAACGATGCGCGTGAAAGTCTTTGTTTCCCATGCATTCAAATATTGCACCTGGGTCCTTTGAGATGAAACATTTCGTTTAGGCGCGGGGTTGTCCCACGGTGTTATAACCGCGACCGATTTGGCGCGTTCCTCGTGCACCGACACGACACGGGCGGCTCGCACGAATGCTGAGCGCGGGGCCGGCGGCCACCACGTGGCCGGCAGCCTCCACGTGGCCTCCATCCACACTCGACGGCCGCCACACCTGGGGGGGGGGGAGGAGCAAACGCGGGCGAGCGTGGTGACGTCACTGAGGGCGTTATCCCCCCCCCCCTCCTAATCAGCTGTTCGCTGTTGTCACTGTCACCGCTGCTACCGCCGCTGTCAGTGAGCGCTGTGCCGCGTGAGTGGTGAGCTCTGGCGCGAGTGGTGAGCAGTGGAGCTCTGGTGCTAGTGGTGAGCAGTGAGGGCCTGTGTGAGCGGTGAGGCTCTGGTGCGAGTGGTGAGCAGTGAGGGCTGTGCGCTGTCAGCCACGCTGGGGGGGAGGGGGGGTGGCGAAACCGCACCGGGGAGGCGGAGACACAACAACAACAACAACCATAGCGCGCCTGAACCGGTGGCGGTAGAGTCCAGGCGGAGGAGGACAGCGGCAGGAAGGGGAGAGGAGCGCTAGGAAGCGAGGAAGCAGCGGGGAGGGGAGAGAGGAGGAGGAGGAGGAGAGGCGGGGGCGCACATCGCGACCAAAGCGGTGCCGGCAGGTGCGGCCGAGCTGGCCGCGTCTGAGTGAGCCGCCCCCTGTGGCCGCTCGCTTCGCGGCCCGCGCCTCGCGCACCGCGGCGTGGAGGCGATGTGCGCTCCGCATCCACCCCGTGGCTGCGTGCCTCGTTTGTAAACGCGGCCAACATCGACGACGGCGGCGGCGGCGCAGAGGAGGCACAGACGCGGCTCGGGTTCGTGTGCTGCGCGCAACGCAGCAGCAGCCAAGAGCAGCAGCAGCCAGGAGCAGCAGCAGCCAGGAGCAGCAGCAGCCAGGAGCAGCAGCAGCCAGGAGCAGCAGCAGCCAGGAGCAGCAGCAGCCAGGAGCAGCAGCAGCCAGGAGCAGCAGCAGCCAGGAGCAGCAGCAGCCAGGAGCAGCAGCAGCCAGGAGCAGCAGCAGCCAGGAGCAGCAGCAGCCAGGAGCAGCAGCAGCCAGGAGCAGCAGCAGCCAGGAGCAGCAGCAGCCAGGAGCAGAAGGAGGAGGAGCAGCAGCCAGGAGCAGCAGCAGCCAGGAGGAGCAGCAGCAGGAGCAGCAGCAGCCAGGAGTAGCAGGAGGAGGAGCAGCAGCCAGGAGCAGGAGTAGGAGCAGCAGCAGCGAGCCATGGCGAAGCAGTACGACGTGCTCTTCAGGCTGCTCCTCATCGGCGACTCGGGCGTGGGGAAGACCTGCCTGCTCTGCCGCTTCACCGACAACGAGTTCCACTCCTCGCACATCACCACCATAGGTGAGGGAGTGATCCGGTGGTGAAGAACGCCGGTAACCCCCCCCCCCCCCACGCCGTGGGGAGACGAGGCGGGGGGCCGCTGCGCGACTCCCGCGTGCCACCCGCGCGCGCGGCGGGGTGCTGCGCGCTGCGAGGCCTCCCCCACCGGTCCACACGCGTGCCCAGGGCTCGGTGAGTTGGTCGTGGCCCGCCGCTTTCATTGACGAACGAGTCATGGTGGGGGTGTGGGGGAGCAGCTACGCGGTGCTTGGGAGCCCCGGGGAGGAGGCTGAAGCTGCGCTTTCTGTACAAGTACGCCGGGCGCGGTGCTCTGTTGTGGCTTGTGTGTTTCATCGGCGCGGCTGTGATGAAATATTCATCCCTCGCACAGTTGCCGCGACTCGGCGGAATTGAGTGGCCGCGAGCCGAGGAGTCTGTTTGGGGTTTCACCTCCACCGAGGAGTCTGTTTGGGGTTTCACCTCCACCGAGGAGTCTGTTTGGGGTTTCACCTCCACCGAGGAGTCTGTTTGGGGTTTCACCTCCACCGAGGAGTCTGTTTGGGGGTTTCACCTCCACCGAGGAGTCTGTTTGGGGTTTCACCTCCACCGAGGAGTCTGTTTGGGGTTTCACCTCCACCGAGGAGTCTGTTTGGGGTTTCACCTCCACCGAGGAGTCTGTTTGGGGTTTCACCTCCACCGAGGAGTCTGTTTGGGGTTTCACCTCCACCGAGGAGTCTGTTTGGGGGTTTCACCTCCACCGAGGAGTCTGTTTGGGGTTTCACCTCCACCGAGGAGTCTGTTTGGGGTTTCACCTCCACCGAGGAGTCTGTTTGGGGTTTCACCTCCACCGAGTGAGTCTGTTTGGGGTTTCACCTCCACCGAGGAGTCTGTTTGGGGTTTCACCTCCACCGAGTGAGTCTGCGCAGTGTTTCCACCAAGTGCGGCTCACACGTATCACGAGCATCTGGTGGTGGTGGTGTCAGTCATATTGATCTGAAATCATTTCCGCGTGTCTGGCATAAGTGTGGTTAAGTGTGGTTAAAATCAGCGTGTTTACATTTGTATTATTCTTATGCGTCACTCAGTCAAAGTGAGCTACTTCAAAATGTTAACGTGATAATTGATGCAGAGGAAGTTTGGTTACTGGAATGTTATATTTTGTATGATTAAAAAAATACAATTGAAACCATACAAGCAGCTTTAACAGTGCACATTGCATCCGTTCGATTAAACACTTGGATGGAACATTGTCAATATGAACTTGTGGATTATTTTAAATGATTCTGTAATGGTAAGCTGGCAGCAATCACTCCCTCTGATGGTATTCTTTTACACATTTTGGCAGGCGATCATTTTTCACGGCAAGCCGTTGGGAATGTCAAATGTGTGCAACTAAGCAGATTGAATAAAGCATTCCTTTCACTATCCGAAAAAAACCTTGCGAGTAGAGTGCATCCTCTTCACACTGTCACTGTCCCCAGTGACACACATGTAGATTTTAAAGTGGAGCTGTTCCAGTATTACACAAGACCGTCGCAGAAATGGTTGAAAAATCAACATCGCCTGTGGTGTGCAGATCGTAAACTTAAGAAGGAATGTGGAATATTCACAATGTGAGGCCAGCAGAGTCAGTGATTATGAGCGTTACACATGGCTCATTTGAGATTGTTTTACCTATCTGGGTCGGAGGTGGGGTGAACAGAAAATTGTTTTCACCACCCAACCTATGTTTGATGTTCCCCCAACTTTAGGCCTGAATTCATTGGATACACTGATATATAATTATATTAAAACATGCATATATTGGAAGTTGTTTTCATCCAAGAGACAGTGGATAGGTGATGGCAGGGATGCGTGTAATGTGATCTTGTGGCTGAGGTGTGCATCGTTCTGTCAGATGAAATGGAAGCCTCACATTGCACGTAGCACTGCAGGTGCCAGGTTTGGGACGTGGTCCCAGGAGACTGTTTAACGTTTCCGTTATAGCAATAGCCATCTACATCACTCTTCACGCAGGCACCGGTACTGATTGGCCTTATTGTACTGACAGTGAAGCAATGCAGTAATGCAAAGTAACTGCTGTATTGTAATTGAACGCAAGGTATTTTAATCAATCTCTTTGTGGCAGAGTGCTTGACTCACAATCGAAAGGTCATGCATTCAAATTCTCGTGGAGGATTGAATCAGCCCATCATCTTCTTGGAGAATGCAATGTACTGTACGACTTTGTAGGAAGTCAGTAGTGGTTGCCTTACAAATATACTGTGCCATGCCATAGGAATGTGGAATTTACACAATGGAGGTGATCATACTCCATGCTCTCCAAGGTCTCCATGCTCGTTCGATGCTCGTTCGAGCATGGAGACCTTTCAAAGAAATTCTATTGATATAAATTCCCAGAGAGATTTGTATATGTTTTTGTCATATGTAATGAATGGATGTTATAACTTTATGCTCACTTTCCAAGCAAACCTTACTTATCCTGACACACTGCCTTTATTTTAAGGCACATCTTAGGGCACTTACCTTACGATAAAGAATGTGAAGAAGATATTTAGGAATTACATGCTTGATAGCTTTATGGGTTTCCATAACCAGATATTTCAGTACATATTAGGTATGCACAACCAGTCGTAGTAAATCAATGTTTTGTTTCATGCAACTTTACAAAACCAAGATTGTTTTAAACAAATAAAGAATATCTTGGTGTAGTCAATACCTATGACACTTTTATAGTTATTTCATATCATATTAAATATACTTTGGGATATGTGCTACTTTTTGTTTGTGATACAGTATTCATCGAAGAGTAAGCTCATCAAGGCATTTTAACATTTCAGAACTGGTGAGGAAAATATATGGGGTACAAACTATCTGGTGCGACACTTGAGTTACCGTGCGAGTTCTTTTAAGACATCACTTGAAAGCTGAGCACAATTTTTCGTATGTTTACTGTCATATTGTCTCGGTGTATGTCACTCCCCAATCCACAATTATGAAGGAGAGACATCACAGCGATGATACACTCCCTTGCTCCTGGCTGGGTTGTTTGGCTTGACCACCTGAATATGAAACTGTAGTCGTTGCTCTGCATTTACATCAGCCATGCGAATTAAGAAGACTGCATGATTGTTTATGATCAGGACCATTGCTCATGAAACGCCTTTATCCGTGGCCAGTAAAACATGTCATATATGCCCAGGCTTCTTCACAAGTTGTCCACTAAAACCTTGAATTGCTGCTTTCCTTTATTTATGTAATGCAATAAACAGACACATTGCTATGTAGCCATCTAATGAAATGCCGTTGATGAATGCTCCCCACAAATTTTGTTGAATTGATGTTCCTGTTGAATGGAATTTTAGTGAATTCTAAAAATATACTTTCAGCAGGGTCAACAGGTTTTTTCTAGAAATAACAAATTTGCTAAAGGCAATCAGTAGGCGCAGCCCAAGTAACATTCCAGAGGAAACATTCCTCTGATTTTAATCTCAGCCCTGCCTCCTCTCCTGCCTACCCACCCATTCATTGGTGACTGGCTGCCAACCTCCTGACAAGCATCCACACATTAGAGGTGGCTGAGTGACTCAGAGGTCTCAGGGCTCAGCTGACAGGCTGAGATTCTGGGTTGATTCTGGGCACTCATCCGTGGTTAAACTGGTTTCTCAAGTGTGGTAAGTTGATGGTCTCACCAATTCCTGAAAAAAGCACGTTACAATTAGTTTCATTTTATAAATTCCATCTCTGGGAATTAAAAAAAAAACATCATTGTGATTGTCATATGACAAACACCAATATCATGATATAGATGTTCTCAGACACGTGGGGTTGCACTGCCGTGCAAGATTTCCGAATGGATTCTTTAATTGTCTCCTGACATGCCCTGGGAATAAAATTGGAGAAAAGACCAAAAATTATACAAAAGAAAAAACACAGTCTACCCATTATGCAGGTAAAACTGAAACAATTTTGCCAATCATTGTGCCTCTGCTTAGCATTGCAGCATTCTAGTGCCTTAATGCCATATGGTTTGATGTGTATGTGAGCGATACATGTTTATGTATGTGCATCTGAAATTCGCGGATTTTAGCTGCTTGATGGGAAGGATCAGGAAGGATGCAATGAGATAAGGGACGTGGATTATATTAAGCAACGCAGGCTGCAATGACAAGATTGGTTTGCTGCATGTATTTGTATGCATGTACAGATAGGTAGGGAACATACGTTATAAGACTATTTAGATTCAAAACCACAATACAACTATATATAGAACTGCGTAGACTTAAAAAACAGTGTAAGTGATGAACGTGATTTTATTAAAATTGTGCTTAATTGTCAGAGGTTTTTTTTAATATCTGTTAGAAAAAGCCCATAACATTTATTTTAAAAAATTCAAGTAGCAAATCTGAGCAATGGCCCAAGAGAGAAACCAGGCGAGTCTTTCAGGCAAAGAGACAAGTGGTCGTACCCGTCCTATCATGCACAGTGTGGAAATTATTTCATGGCGGGGGGGGGTGAAATCTCTCCATCAGTTTTGGGGGTCACTCGTGTGACGAAAATAGAACACCTCAACAAGGAGGTTGATGATAAGCATTCTTAACTCAGATCTCTTCCATCTCTGTGGGTGAAAACAATACATAGGAATTGAGGATTTTAAAAAAAATATCCGTGGTATAAATTTGAGTGCCTTAATCAAGGACCCGAAGCGTGCAGCGAGTGGTGAAGGTAAGAGAGCGTTGCGTCTGTGGCCCGGAGGAAGAGAGGTGGGCTGAGCCCTTCCCCCATCATCTCATTGTCATCATCATCGTTCACATTAACGGTATGTAAAGTTAATGTAATGTTTATGTTTAGTTATGTTATTGTGTAAGGTCCTGTATTTTACTCGGTGTTTAGTTAATAAAAAAGGCAACTTAGTTGAGCTATGGCGAGTCTGAGCGTGGCCATGGGTCCCCTAACCCCCTATTCCCCATAGGCTTTACCTACCGCGGATTTACCAACTGCGGCTTATTCCAGAAACCTAA